GAAATAAGTTTTGCCAGAGATATCAACATTAGATGGAATAGTACTTACAAATTGATTGCACAGATCCTAAGATATAAAGAGGAACTTGCTGAATTTTTTAGGGATGAACTTCGTATAATCATTAATCCTTTTGAATTTGTTATTGTTGAAAAATTGAATGCCGTATTAGAAGTTTTTAATAACGCAACTCTTACTTTTTCCCATGTTTACCAACCAACTACAAATACATTTTTTAAAGAGTGCATTACAATCGCAACATGTTTTCGTGAAAGTATGGCTGATCCAGATTTGTACCCTTATGTCTCTCCTATGAGAGATAAATGGTGTACTTATTATTTGTACATTCCTGATATTTATAAAATAGGTATTATTTGTGATCCACGATTTAAGATTGAAAATTTTAAAATTCTAATTGAGTATTACTACAGTTGTTTTTTAGATAAAAATAGTTATTACTACAGCTATTTAGTAGAATGGAAAAATGAAAGAGATAATGCTATAACTCTTTTTGAGGATTTGTTTAAGGAATATCAAGTGTTATACGGTACTGTTCAAGAAGAAACAGCACCACCTCCGCCCCCGAAATCAAAAAAAGGTTTTGCCGGCATAGTTGGTGGCCTTCTTGCAAAGAAAGGGAAGCGTGCCCAGTCTTCGACGAGTTCAAGTGGTACAACAGTAAGCTCGCACAACGAACTTGTTATGTACCAGGGTGTGCCATGCGATTACGATGACGACGACTTCGATTTTGACGTGCTCGGATGGTGGAAGCGGAACGAACACATGTTCCCATGTCTCGGCATGCTAGCAAGACAAGTGTTGTCCGTCCCGGTATCAACCGTAGCAGTTGAACGAGATTGGCTCTTGGCAAGACGTCGGGCTCAAGAGTCATCGTACCAACTCGAATCGGAGCATTACATGAATGCAACCACAGATGGAAGTCCGAGTTCTGAAGAATAAGTTATCAATTTTTTTTATGTTAATGTAAATATGTAATTAGTTTTTTTAGGTGAGCGATATATAAGCTCCTTCGAGGGTTTCTTTATGGTTCTTTACCTCGTCGCTTTTTTTGAACCGTCAGGATATTAAATGTGGTTGTTCTTCAGTTAGTGTATTACTCATTTTCAATATTTAAATAACAACTACATTTTTAGATTTTTTATTTCATTCTTTCCTTAAACAATTGGAAATTTACAATTTTATACTTTAAAAATTTAAAAAAAAGCAAAAAAAAATAATAGGAGGGGGGGCGAACCCGGCCGGTCCGGTACCGGAACCGCCGGTCCGGGAACTGGAACCGGTACCGGCCGGCACGGTGACGGTTCCGGTTACATGGGGTGGCGGTACCGGAACCGGTGGTTCCGGAATCGGAACCGTCCCGGAACCGTACCGTGTCCACCCCTAATTGAATGTAATGATGCTTATTTATGTTGCGAGCCTTGTGAATATTAAAGTAATATGTGGACCTAGAGGAACTCTAATATTACACCTGAATAGGATAGAGGCAAGTTATGCCATAAGTATAGTAAGGTTAGAGTCATGTGGTAACTGCTAAGTCCAATGGCTATTTGGGTACAAACGTGTGCACGGGGATCTATGAACTGTCATTCCAAAGGGAACAAGGATCTCACCCACCCAATGAGGAACTCCCGAGTTCGCTGAGCTTGATTCTCGTTTCGAAGGGGAAGGTCATGACTCTAATAAGAAAGTCAGAATCGATATAAGTTTAAACCTAGAATAGGTTATGAGCAAGTAAGTTAGTGACTGAAGTAACAAGAATTCAAGAACATAATTTTAACATTGTTGATGTTGTTTGTGGTTGGAATGCTATTATAGTGATATTCCTGATGAACTTGTCTGCAGGATATCGTGTGATGTTATGAACTAGTCGAGTCATCTACATGTATAACTGAATGCTAGATATTTCTCACCTAGCTTCAATGCTGAGTGTAATACCCTAATCTATCCATGTCTGTAGCCCCTTTTGAACTAAAGTATAAACTTGGTAATCGTAAAATTTAAAACATTTCAAACACTTTTATTTATCACAAATAATATTCATAATAGTACAAGTAACAGAGTTTTCAATGTTTGCGGAAGCTTTAACAAATCATAATCACAAAACATATCTAATTTATGTCTTTTGAAATAATTACTCAAAACCATCACATCCATCCCAACACTCTCTCATCCGCCCGCCGCCAGGATCATGTCATATCATTCTTTCTATATACTTGCATTTAGCAAATAAAACATACTACACGTTCAGCGGTGAAGCAGAGTAAGGATATTTAATGCATCAAACATTCACATAAATTGAATCTAAATTCATAATCAAATCATTTGATATCATTCACATAATATTCAGTTTAGGTATTCAATATTCAATAATCATAGTGTCAACAATGCTCTTAAACTATAATTAGTTTAGGGTACATAATTTTAACCAACTCTTAAACTATTCCTAGTTTAAGGCGCAATTTATATTATTTACCAACTCTTAAACTAATCCTATTTTAAGGTACTGTTTAAAAATGTTTTTCCAACTCTTAAACTAGTCTTAACTTAAGGTACACAAGAAATCGAACAACGGCGATTGAAGGTTTTGGAATTTTTTTTGGCAAAACTTCCGGCGAGGATTGTGGCATACTCCGGCGACCTCTCACTAAATGGACAACACCACTACATTCTCCACACTCAGAGCAACAAAATATATTATAATGAAGAATGGGATGATTTGGTGAAAAAATGAGGGAGGATAGTATCCTTATATAGTGAGAAAGCTGGGGAAGAAGCCAAGCGGTGATGTCTCTGTTTCCTGTACGTGTAGCTGAGTGGAGAAGGAGACGATTCAGTCCGATATTATACGCCTCTCCCTGGTGGGGACTAATTTGGTCTCCGCCAGGGCACACTTTTTTGTCAAACTTTCTCCGAATTAAATTCAGATTGTATTGTTGTGACCAGTGAGTCACACTCTACACACTGATATAATTTTCATTATTTATTGACAAACTTCATAAATCACTTATTTTTGGGTCCTTTTCAGTAATTAATTAATTATTTCTGGAAGGCCTATTTTTGGGGCGTTACACTGAACGTGTGTAGCGTTTCTTCTTTTGATGCATGTAGGTAATTATGATCATCATGAAATCGAAGTTATTTCCGGAGGATGTTGAGGGCAAGGGGATGATATGTGTGGTTACAGTTGAAGATTTGACTTGTTGTTTATTAATTAAGTACTTATCACTTAAATGGGTTTGAACCCTATGAAAATAATAGAAGGAGAAAATATTTGTGTATTGAATTGTCTTGTGAATACAAAGGTCTAACCTTCTTCATATAATAAAAGAGTAAAGAATATAAGTAAACTTCTATTCCTACCATATTTCTATTCCAACTAAACCAAGAACTAAACAAACTAGGAAAGATACTAAAGCAAATCCCAAAGGGATTCAGTTTCCTTCTTTGATCCAGAATCCTTTTTCTGTTGCCAACCCCCCCTCAAGCTGGAGGATAGGAGTTCAACATGCCCAGCTTGGACATCAAAAGATTGAACAAAGCTTGAGGAAGCCGCTGCCATCGTTTTCCAAGTGTCATCTTGACACTTCAGTTTTTTTCTTCAATGGAGACGCCAAGATTTTTTCGAATCTGCCGAATAATCAGTTGAATAAAGGAACATCATTCTTTTCAAACCTTCATCGAATTCAAACGAATAGGACGAACGCCATTCTTTTCGAACATCCTGAACGTCAATTTTTTACGACGACAAAATAAAGATGACGGGAGTGACTTGCGGCCAAAGAGACCCTGACAATTGGTGCGGCACTTTCCACAAACCAGTATGGATTTGTTTCTGCGGCAAGGTGAAGGGTTGAAAGGGTATGGAATGCTGATGATTCTTGTGATTCAATATGGGTAAGGTTTAGGTTTGGGGTGTTGTTAGTTTGGCGGTGGTAGGAAATTTGGATTGGAGGAAGAACAACGGCCCAGCGGCTAGCTCATATAAGGTTTAGTTTGTGATTCAACTAGTTTTTTTAATTTTTTTAATTTTTTGAATTGTCTTGTGAATACAAAGGTCTAACCTTCTTTATATAATAAGAGAGTAAAGCATATAAGTAAACTTCTATTCCTACCATATTTTTATTTCTACTAAAACAAGAACTAAGCAAACTAAGAAAGATACTAAACCAAATCCCAAAGGAATTCAATTCCCTTATTTGATTCGGCTTCCTTCTTCTGTTGCTAACAAACCCCAAGTCTTGTTTTGTATTATGACATAAGCTTCCGCACTGTTTTGAATTACTCCGATATATATTTGAAATTAAATATTTGTTTTAAATTGTTTTTAAAAATGAATTATGTTTGGATACTAATTTCGTAGCAACCTGGTTCGCTAGCTCATGTATTCGGGTTACGCGGGTTGAGGTGTTACACTTAAAACCTTCTTGTTGTAATCGGTTGGGATAACAATTGTAAAATCCTACTTATTGACAAGGGTTGTTTGCCACAAGCTTGGTTTGACTTCTTCGGAAGCCAAAAAAGTTAGCGGAGGTTAAATCTTTGAGAAAGAGCCTTAAAGTACTGGAGTAGGTAGTTCTCGAATCAATCTAAAATTGCTTGTGTTGTGTTCTTTATTTCTCTTTATTTTACTTGCTCCTTTTTCAGTCCAATGTATTTAAGAATTTTTAGTTTTGTGAAAATCTTTAAAACACCTTTTAGATCACCGTTTGTATGGGGAACTTTTTCTTTTATCCGAGTAACCTTTGATTTATTCAAATAAGTTGTGAATTTGTTAACGATTGAAATCTTTCTGACTTATTTGAATAAATGGCCAATTATTCAAATAAGTTCTGCATTTTTCAGCAATGAATGCTTTGGTGACTTATTCAAATAAATTAACAATTTTAACCTCCAAACAACTAGTTTTTTTAATTTTTTGACTCCTATCATCTTCATAAATTTTATAAACCTCCCCCACTCGTGATAATCATGAAGAGAACACCAAGAACACTTCACATATTATACCCTTTGATTATTCAAAGAGTTTCTACTTAATCCCCCTCTCATATCCAATCAAAGAAATGTTTTGATTGCTAAATTCACTCTTGCTTGAGTTCTTATCCTCATTGCTTTAATCCTTGAAAGATTAAGCCATATTTAATAGAAGATCATTGCATTTACAAAAATACGCTCTTGTGAGAGTAATCGTAATGTTGTGGGTGTTTTGCTTACTTTTTGTTAGAGATTTATATTCTTGGTATTCGGATTACAATAAGTGGTAGAAATCCTAACAGTTTGTGAAATCAAACATTAGGTTGAAGAAATCCCGATTCTTGTGAAACCAAGGTTTCGATGGTAATATAAGAATATTGTGAAATCAAGTTCTCAAGTTGTATTAGGATTGTCAAACTCCATTAAGTTTGACAAGTTGATAGAAAAGGCTTCGGCACATTTACTTCAAGGACTGGATATAGCTAGACATTAGGTCGAACAATATATATGGTGTGTTTATTGCTTTTATTCTTCACTTTCTCTTGTTTGTGGTGTGTTGATTTGATCGAGATTTTATCGAGAATACTTCCGTGATAACATCGGTCATTTTGAAAAACACCTCTTTTAACCCCCTCTAGAGGTGTGCGTGGAGTTTAAGTATAAATTGTGTGATTATAATAACGAGAACTTATCAACTCTTGATCATAATTTGTTGGTTATGATTGTGGGGTGCTATATGATGTTGTTAAAATATGCTTATGTGCATGATATCATATGATGGTTGTGGGCTAGTGAGTTCACTTATACGTATGTTCGAATATTTGATATTTCTCACTCAACTTTATTACTGAGCGCGTAGTGTGTTTGTTTGCTACATGAAGGTAAACATGTACAAAATGAACCTAGACCAGGGGACAATGAGGACGAGAAGATGTGCAAGTTATGCCTTGTTGATCAGTTTGAGTCGTTGATATTTTTTGAATAATTTATTAGTTTTTCGGGCATTAATCCAAAGTGTTGGAAATTTTAAAGTAAATTGGACATTTTCGGACATAAATTCGGTAGGGTCCACAAAATTATTTTCCAAAATAATTATGGACGATTAATCTCGTAAGTAAGACGAACGTCTTGACATATGACACGTCATAAACGGTGTTCGGGTGAATGAGAAATTAATTCTCAAAGTTGAATATTAAGGTAGAGTAAATGCCTTTGTCCCACACCGGTTTCTAAACCCTTCGTATTCTCATATTTAAGCTTAGACATTGAATTGAGCTTATGAAAGAAACAAGAAGAGGACTCCTCGCGCGCCCGCCGCCGCCGTCTGGCCGGCTTGGCACGTCACGCGCGTCGTGGCGGGGCGGGTCGCGCCTGCGTTTGCGGCACGGCGGGGCTAACTTTTTACGAGACGAAAACGAAACGCGCGTGTACACTTCGGGGGGTGTATTGTATAAGGATTCTTATTCATTTAAATAGAAATCAATGGAATTTAAAAGTCTAGGTGTATTCAATTGTAACTTTTTAAAATCTATAAAAATCTAGATGTATTCAATTAGGATTTTAAAAAGTCATTATAAATTCAACGAAAGTCTAGCGGTATTCAAAATGGACTTTTAAAACTGAAAAAAAATCTTGAAGTATTCAAAACAATATTAAACCCATGGATTTAATAAAATCATTCATATATGAAGATATTTTACTCCAGGACTATATATACTCTTTTTCCATTCTTTTCTTTCCGCAGGAGCTGGTATTCTTTGTAGTCTTTTTTACGCAAGAGCCCTAGGTCCGCCGTCTAAGTCTCATCTTCCTCAACTGCCGAACAGCTTGCAAGACAGCTCCGTCCAGTAAGATTTTCATGCTTTTGAGATTCAGACCTTAATTGCTTGCTTTTTTGTTTGATTTCGTTTAGTCGTTTTTGTCGGATTCCATGTGATTTTCTTCTATGAACCATTGATTATCGTGTAGCAACCCAGAATTCGAGTAAAAGAAATTCCTCATCGGTTAGAAATTTGGAACTGCGCCCTTTACAAAAATTCTTCATTCGATTTTTTTATTTGACAAGTGAGAAATTTGGGACAATTGATCCCCCAAGCAATTATGGGTATTAGTCTTGAATCGGGTTTAACCCCATAAAAATTTGAGTAAATTATGTGTTGAATAATTATGTGAAAGCAGCGGAAAATGGTGCATAGCTAGTATAAAATACAGAGTATTCACTTTTTAGTTTTTTAGCTCCTTTGCACTTTAAAGGGTTAATTGGATGGGTTTCAATGATCGCTCAGGATATCCACTTGGATCAATATGACAGTAAAAATGAATTGGCCTGGCCTGCATAACTGACTTGGCAATTACACTAGTATTTGTGAAATAAAACAAGTAGAGAAAATGGTAGGGATGAGAGATAGTCTCTGTACAGTCTTCTTTTTTCTTGGTAGGGTGGTTGTTCAAATTCTAGTATTAAGAATGAACTGTCTTAGAATGAAAGTGTATCTTTTATTCAGGTGATGAAAGCAAATGATATGCCTTGTTATAGTTTTCACCAAAATATTATTGCCAGAATTTTGACCATTATGATGAAAGGTGAAAAAAATATTAACTTTTTTATTATGATGAGGAGAGATTGCAGATTGTGTTTTTGTTGTATGGAGTTCTAGTCTATCTCCCACTTTCCTTGTCATTAAACCAAACCATGCAGTGTTGTGATTTTTATTGTTTACTACTCACTACTTTTGCAGTTCAATTTATTTGAAAATGAGTGTAATTTAAAAATAAACTTTACTTGTATATATTTAAAAAACCATAAAAAAATTGAATTACACTCCTCAAGAAGAAGGGTTAATGTTATGAACTTTTTAAAAACCAATATAAAAAGTTGAGTCTACCATGCCAGTTGAGGAGTCTTGAACACATGTTTTCCCCTTGATTTTTGGGAAATAGGAATAGTTTATATGATTTTTGTCTTATTTCACGTATGATGTAAATTGATTTATGGTTGACTGTATACTATCATAGAGATGGAAGATTCACAAGAGAATGGTAAGCGAAAGGATTATAAAACTTGGTCAACCGAAGAGAGTAACAAATTGCTACAATTGATGGTTGATGGAGCAAAACGTGGTCTACGTGATGTTAATGGAGTCATTACAAAACAAACAGTGGAAAAGAAACTTCTTCCAAAACTTAAGGAACAACTTGGTTATGAAATTAGTTTTAGTCAATATCAAAGTAGAGTGAAATGGTTTAAGAAACAATACTCTAATTACTCTAAGCTTCTACGCCATAATTCTGGATTTGGGTGGGATGCAACCACAAAGAAATTCACTGCTCCTAATGAAGTATGGGAAGATTACTTAAAGGTGAGCTTATATCTTTCTTCATTTTTTTGCTTTAAGTTAATGCTTAAAATCGTGCTCACAATTTGAGTGTTTTTGTCCTATCAGTCTAATCCAACACATGGATTTTTTCGGACAGATACTTTTTCAGATTATGATGACTTGAGAATCGCGGTAGGAAATGGAACTGCAACAGGCATGAATGCAATTGGCCTTGGCAATGACACAGATGCCACTATATTAGAAGTAGAAGAAGAAGATGAAGTTGATGGGTTTGAGTCCATAGACAAGTTAGTCTTTTATGAAAATACTAATGCCTTCATACAAACTAATCTAGCTTCACCAGAACCTACAAAAAGTTCAAACATAGAAGATCAACCTTCATCACACAATAGCGTCCAAGGAAAAAGGAGCAGAGATGATTTTGAAAATAGAAAGGGAAAAAAGGTTAGTAAAACTCAAGATGAGGTCCTAGTGAACTTGTCAAGTGGGTTTGAAAGAATTGTTAAGAGCTTTGATAAAATTTGTGGCCTGATGGAGAAGAGAGAGTCGAGAGAGAGTGACCTTTTGGATACCATGAAGGAGACGCCAGGACTAACCAATGATGAATGCTTTATGGCTCTTGATTTGCTTAACACCAAAGCAAAGCAAGATTTCTTTTTGAAGATGACTCCTGAACAATGATTAAGTTGGATCATTTCTAAACAAATGTAGTAGTCTTAAGAGTTATTTTAGCAATAGATACTTTTTAGGTATTTGTTTTAAATCTATTCCTATTAGTAGTTGAGACTTATGTGTTTTGAATTACACCATATACTTTGATGATTTTATTATATATGGGAATTGACGTACCTTATTTGTTTGTTTTTTTCTTGTTAAGCTATGTCTGAAATGGATCTATATGGAGCCGATGAAGATGAAGTAGAATTTTATGAGTCAGTTAAAATATTATTATTAGCAATAAAAGCAGTTATTTATGTGATACATAATCTCCTTTTGAACCTTGGTGGGGAACCTGTTGGACGTCCATTGACTCGTCGATCAGTGACTTCTAGTGGATATGAGTACATGCACAAAATATTGGATGATGACCCTCATAAGTTTAGAATGCTATTCAGAATGTACCCAGATGTGTTTCGGAAATTATGTTTTATCCTAAAAGAGAAAACACCTTTAAGAGACACAAGGTATATTTGTGTTGAAGAAATGCTTGCAACATTTTTGCTAGTTGTCGGTCAAAACAATCGTTATAGTGAACCTAAAATGATATTTCAACGATCACACTTCTCTATTAGTAGAAGTTTCAACAAAGTGTTGAAGGCTTTGAATACAATAGCACCAGATTTTATGGCTAAACCAGAGACCGTACCATACATCATCAAGGAGAGCACAAGGTTTTATCCTTACTTTAAGGTAAGTTATGAAAATTAACACTCACATTAGACCATCTTAATTATACACCAATAAATATTCATTTTTTAATTAATTTTTCAGGATTGCGTTGGAGCGATAGACGGGACCCATATTCCAGCAATGGTAGTTGGGCGTGAAGTGAGTAGTTACCGGAATCGTCATGGGACTATATCTCAAAATGTCTTAGCTGTATGTAATTTTGATCTGCAATTCATTTACGTGCTTAGTGGATGGGAGGGATCTGCCCATGATTCAAAAGTTTTAAATGATGCACTTTCTAGACCAAATGGGCTCAAAGTGCCATCAGGTAAATATTTTTTCTTCTTAAATTGAGTCTCTTATTATTGTAATTTATGCAACACATAAATGCATACTGATTAAATAATATTTTCATGAATAGGTAAATATTACTTGGGGGATTGTGGTTTTCCAAATCGTTGTCAATTTTTAACACCGTTTCGAGGTACTCGATACCATCTTAAAGATTTTGGCGGAGGAGGAAATCACCCTACCAATGTACGGGAGTTGTTCAATCTTCGACATTCTTCCTTAAGAAATGTAATTGAGCGAATATTTGGAGTATTCAAGTCACGATTCACAATATTCAAAACAGCACCACCATTTTCATACAAGACACAAACAGAACTTGTTTTAGCGTGTGCGGGACTACACAATTTTCTACGACGTGAGTGTCGTTCAGATGAATTTCCTCCAGCTCCGGATGAAGACACAACAAATGAAACAGATGAGAGTTTTGAATGGGATGATACTCAGACACAAGATCAACAACGAGAGAAAGCTAACGAATGGAGATTGAATCTTGCAAATCATATGTCGGCAACAACTAATAGTGAAAATAGTTAATTCGTTACTTTAATTATTTTACAACTAGATTTTTTTCATTTTTGTTGCAACATTTGATTGAGATGATAAATTTACTACAATGCAATGTTTTCCATCTATTTTATTAGCATACTTACTTTTACCCTGTATGCTCGGTTAAATTTTATTTTTAAATTCAAATTTGATAAATTTTGATCATTAATTAAATTAAATTTACATTACCAATTAGTATTAAAAATAATACAATTAGAATTGTCTTGTAAAAAAATATTTTAAAATTTTTTTCAGTTTATTATATATATATATGTATGTATGTATGTATGTATGTATGTATGTATGTATGTATGTATGTATGTATATGTATATGTATATGTATATGTATATGTATATGTATATGTATATGTATATGTATATGTATATGTATATGTATATGTATATGTATATGTATATGTATATGTATATGTATATGTATATGTATATGTATATTTATATGTATATGTATGTATGCATGCATGTATGTATGTATGTATACGAAATATGTATTCCATTAATATAAAATTTATTTTGTCATTAATTGAAAATTAAAAGTAATTTGAGTGTAAAAAATAATGCTGGACGGACATACTTGGATGTGGAAATGAAATCTATAAAATTATTCAAATAAAAGTCCATAGACTTGTTAAAATCCATAGAAATTATTTATATAAAATCAATGACTTTTAAAATATCAATAGAAGTCTATGACTTTCAACACAAGTCCATTGACATGAATAGAAGTCATTGATTTTAAAAATATGAATACAATTCCTTATACAATACACCCCCCTTCGTTAATAACGAAGTGTACAAAGTTGGAGTATGCATGCATGGCCGACCGAAGAGTCGCCGAGACTCCTCGGTATCTCCGTCCGGGCTGTCCAGTTAGCCAAGCCTCCTCCTATTTAAGGAGAGGCTGGTCGAGAGATGAAGGATACCGGAAAATCCCTCTCTCTCTCTCTCTCTGCGTTATACAACCTTCCGACCATCTCCCATTTTCTGATCGTCTTCTCCGGCAGTGACTTCCATCTTTCTACGGCGTTATACAACCTTCCGACCACCTAGGCCTTGCACGAAGCGGTTTTATCCTGGGAGGAGATTGCCCACGTTTGCCAGTGCGGGACGCGGGCAATACTACCTTAAGGAAAGCTCCGACGACTCCGCTTTCCTTACCCTTCTTCCGAAAACTGTTCCGGCGACGTTCCTACCGGCGTAGCCGTTCGTCTTCCTGCTCCATCCGTTTGCGTTCTGCCTCTGAAGATTTCATTTTTCCTTTGTCTTATTTTACATTGTTAAATCCGAACGTTTTAATTTCGTTTTACTTTTCCTCTGAAGATTTCATTTTATTTTTCCCGCTGTAATATGCATCAATCTTAAGGTAGTAATATGGAATTCGGATTCGGCATCGCGGGTTCCTCCGGCAGCGGAATGAGTTCCGAAGTTCCGGTCGAAACCACCTCGGTCGCCATGGTTATGCCTTCCTCACCGCTGCCCTTCGGGTCAAGTTTGGGGGCCGCCACCATGACCTCCTTCTCGATGCCGAGCTCGATCTTTGGGTCGGCCCCTCGACCCATTCCTGGGCTCGAAACCACGGGGGATAACCCCGTTGGCAATTTGAACCCGTTTCTCAGACCGACTATGGCTTCGGCCTCGACGGTCAATCCTTTTGTTGGACCTCATTGGGCGAGCAACGGGCCTTTCCTCCATACGCCCAATGCAATTGGGGCTATCTCAGTGCCTGCTAGCTCGGTCCAAAGGCCACCGAAGTTCAATGGCACAAACTTCAAAATGTGGCAACAAAAGATGATGTTCTTTTTTACCGTCCTGGGATTTGCTGAGTACCTGCAGCAAGATGGGGCCCAGCTCAATGAAGCCAACGACCCCCTTGTGGCGATGGTGAACCAAGCATGGTACCACAACAATTATCTCGCCATCAATATTATTCTTGAAGGGCTGGGAGATACGTTGTACCCCGTCTATGCCGGTGCCAAGCTTGCAAAAGAGCTTTGGAATAGCTTGAACAAAAAGTATCAAGCTGAAGATGCCGGCACGAAGAAGTTCATCGTCGGGAAGATGCTGGACTACAAGATGGTCGACAGCAAATCTGTTATCGCCCAAGCTGAAGAGCTTACGGTTATCTTCAATAAATGCAATGAAGAGAAAGTAGGCGTCAGCGAGGCCTTCCAAGTGGCGGCCATCATCCACAAACTTCCCCGGTCGTGGGAAGACTTCCAAGCCGACCTCAAGCTCAAAAGAACGGAGCTAAACCTGGAGCAACTGCTCACGCGTTTGAGAATCAGAGAGGAGGGGCTTGCCAGAAGAGGTGGAGGGGCAAAGGCGAATGTGGTAGAACATCCGTCGGGCTCTTCACATGGCGGGAAGGACAAGAAGAAAATGGGTCCTAAGGGTGGTGTTTCAAAATTTGCAGGGAAGTGCTACAATTGTGGCATTACCGGGCACCGTTCCTCCGACTATAGGAAAAAGAAGCCAGAGAAAAACAAGAAGAAAACCACCGAAGCTATGTGTGCAGAGCTCGACAACCTGGACCTCTGCGCAGTCGTCACCGAGGTGAATCTCGTCGGGTCAAACCCGAGGGAATGGTTTGTGGACACAGGGGCCACATGTCATATTTGCTCCAACTGGAGCATGTTTCACGAATTTCAAGAGACCTCCGGTGACAAAGTCTGGATGGGCAACTCGGCCCAGTCCGAGGTTCAAGGAGTTGGAAAGATTAAGTTAAAAATGACTTCCGGCAAGGAGCTAACGCTTAACGACGTGCTCTATGTGCTAGACATTCGCAAGAATTTAGTGTCGGGGTCATTGTTGATCAAACACGGCTTTCGGATGGTGTTTGAATCAGATAAGCTAATCTTATCCAAGAAAGGGATTTTTATTGGGAAGGGTTACATTTCTGATGGGCTTGTCAAGCTTAATGTAATGACTCTTCATGAAAAGATCAATAAAAATCCTGTTTCTTATGTGTGTGAGTCTTCTAGTTTATGGCATGGTAGACTATGACATGTTAATTATGCATCTCTCAGAAAATTAATTAACATGGAACACATACCTAAGTTTAGTATTGACTTAACCCACAAGTGTGAAACTTGCGTTGAGGCTAAGTCAACTCGAAGTTCGTTTCAAACGATCGAACGAAATACTCAACCTCTAGAGTTGGTTCACACCGACTTGTGTGATTTTCGAACAACGCCTTCAAGAGGGGGTAATAAGTACTCCCTCCGTCCATGTAAGATCTTCCCATTACGCGTTACAAGGCTTGACCGACTTTATTTTCAATTCAATTTAATTCATTATAGGAGTAAAGTTTTAAAATAAAATTTATATAGTAATAAACTACATGAAAAGTTCTACAAAACTAGAGGTGACAAGGCTTTATTATTTTATGAAATGACTAGTAAAAATGAGCAAACAAAGTGATTAAAGTTTGACCCTGTGAATAGTGTCTGGGAAGATCTATAGTGGACAGAGGGAGTACTTTATTACCTTCGTCGATGATAGCACGAAATATTGCTATATCTATTTACTAAAAAGTAAAGATGAAGCGTTAGACACTTTTATTCGATATAAGAATGAAGTGGAAAATCAACTCAATCGCAAGATAAAAGCATTGAGAAGCGATAGAGGTGGTGAGTATGATGCTCCACTTAATGAGTTTTGTGCACAACATGGAATTGTGCATCAAGTAACCCCACCGTATACACCACAGTCTAACGGAGTAGCGGAACGCAAAAATCGCACTTTAAAAGACATGATGAATGCAATGCTGCTTAGTTCTGGATTACCCCAGAACATGTGGGGGGAGGCTGTTTTATCAAGTAATTATTTACTAAATAAAATACCTCGTAAGAAACTTGACAAAACTCTGTATGAACTTTGGCATAATAGAAAACCTTCCTATAAGTATCTCAAAGTGTGGGGGTGTCTCGCGAAAGTACTTGCACCACCACCAAAGAAGATGAAGATCGGTCCAAAAACAGTTGATGGAATCTTCATCGGGTAGAATAGTACGTCGTACCGGTTCTTGGTGTACAAATCAGATAATCCTGAAATTCACAAGAACACAATCATTGAGTCACGGAATGCAACGTTTTTCGAGCACATTTTTCCGTGCAAGTCAAGTGATGAAGCCAGTTCGTCCAAACATTCTCATACTGAGATGATGGATAATGATGATCCAAGTAAGTTGAATTTCGATGACGATGATGAAGTCGAACATGAGACTGAACTGAGACGAAGTAAAAGAATACGAACTGAAAATACGTTCGGTTCTGACTTCATAACATATTTGATAGAATTTGACAAAGGAACTTTGTCATTTCTAATGGAAAATGAACCCGATATTCTAACCTGTTTGGTAGAAAAGGAACCACGAACCTATCACGAGGCCATAACCTCAACTGAGTGACCTTAGTGGCAAGAAGCCATAAAAAGTGAAGTTGATTCTATTCTTCAGAATCACACGTGGGAATTGGTTGATCTCCCTCCGGGGTGTAAACCATTAGGTTCTAAATGGGTCTTTCGGAGGAAAATGAAGCCTGACGGCTCCATTGACATGTACAAAGCTAGACTTGTGATCAAGGGGTATAGCCAACGCGAGGGCTATGACTACTTTGATACTTACGCGCCTGTGACTATGATAGATTCTATCAAAATGATCATCGCATTTGCATCCTTACGAAACCTGGATGTTTACCAAATGGATGTAAAGACTGATTTTCTAAATGGCGAACTAGATGAAGAAATCTGTATGGAACAACCCGAGGGGTTTAAGGTGCCAGGCCAAGAAAAAAAGGTTTACAAACTTGTGAAATCATTATACGGTCTTAAACAAGAGCCAAAACAATGGCACGATAAGTTTGACGAGGTAATGATGAACAACGGTTTTAAGATAAATGAGTCAGATAAGTGCGTTTACTTTAAGGACACATCTGAAGGATATGTTATTTTGTGTGTGTATGTAGACGACATACTCATCGTTGGAAGCAACGATAGGATGGTTAAGTCCACCAAGGACATGTTGAACGCACGATTCGATATGAAAGATTTGGGTCTGGCTGATGTGATTCTTGGAATCAAAATAATAAGAAGACCTGATGGTCTGAGTTTGAGCCAATCCCACTACATTGACAAAATCCTTGATAAATTCAATAAGGATGATACAAAGATAGCTAAGACACCGATAGACGTAAATGTTCACCTTGGTAAACACCGAGGAAGTAGCGATTCTCAGACGGAATACACTAGAGTTATCGGAAGTCTGATGTATCTGATGAGCTGCACACGGCCAGACTTAGCTTGCGCCATTAGCAAACTAAGTAGGTATACTAGCAATCCGAGTGCTGAGCACTGGAAGGCCATAGTCCGAGTAATGAGATACCTTCGGTATACTCGAGATTATAGCCTGTGCTACGGCAGGTATCCACCCGTGCTGGAAAGATACACTGATGCCAATTGGATTGCGGATAATAAGGATTCAAAATCCAGAAGTGGATTTATCTTTATGCTAGCCGGTGCAGCTGTTTCCTGGAAATCCTCAAAACAAACGTTAATTGCCAGATCCACCATGGAGTCTGAGTTCATAGCACTAGACAAGTGTGCAGAACATGCTGAATGGCTTCGGAATTTACTTGAGGATATTACAAACTGGGAAAAACCAGTTCCTCCTATTTGCATTTATTGTGACTGTCAGTCAGCAATAGGACGAGCTTGGAACAAACTGTATAATGGTAAGTCTAGGCACATTCGCCGTAGACACAAAACCATCGGGCAACTTCTCAATACGGGTATTATCTCGATTGACTATGTCAAGTCAAAGGATAATTTAGCGGATCCATTAACCAAAGGGTTAACCAATGAGCAACATGAGAAGTTAGTAGTAGGAATGGGTCTGAGAGCCCTACCCTGTGCTGGGAATGTTCCACGAAGGAAAACCCAACCTAGGTGGTACCTGGGTTCAATGGGACAACCTACTTGTGGAACGAAGCATGGTCACTGTGGGGGTAAGCCGAATCACCAACTTGACACCCCTCCGTTCCTACTGAGATATAGTGACTCCCGAAAACGATGAGGTTAGCATGACGCTTTAATGATTCTTGAACTATGGACAACGAGGTCCATGTGGAGTAATCAGGATACTCTTAGTAGAATCACCTATGTAAGAGTGAAGTGCGGTCGCTTCAACAGAAGGATTTCGGGCTGATCCTGTCTAACACTCTCGCAGAACCAGATGCGTGTTCCACGACCATAATGGGCACACCCATGAGAACGGAATGATGGTTGGTTGAAACTTGTGTATTGTATATCGTCGTTTACATAAACGGCAGTACAGTTCAAAGACATCACGTTCTACTAAACAGCCAGTAGAGAAGGTATACCTTACAAGGAGCAGGTTCAAAGGCATAAAACCTACCTACTCTTGCAGGTTTCAACTTCAGAGTTATTGCGAGTTACATGAATTAATTTTCATTCATGTGGGGGATTGTTGGAAATTTTAAAGTAAATTGGACATTTTCGGACATAAATTTGGTAGGGTCCACAAAATTATTTTCCAAAATAGTTATGGACGATTAATCTCGTAAGTAAGATGAACATCTTGACATATGACACGTCATAAACGGTGCTCGGGTGAATGAAAAATTAATTCTCAAAGTTGAATATTAAGGCAGAGTAAATGCCTTTGTCCCACACCGATTTCTAAACCCTTCGTATTCTCATATTTAAGCTTAGGCATTGAATTGAGCTTATGAAAAGAACAAGAAGAGGACTCCTCGCGCGCCCGCCGCCACTGTCCGGCCGGCTCGGCATGACACGCGCGCGTCGTGGCGCGTCGCACCCGCGTCTGCGGCGGGGCGGGGCTAACTTTTTACGAAACCAAAACGAAACGCGCGTGTACACTTCGTTAATAACGAAGTGTACAGAGTTGGAGTATGCATGCATGGCCGACCGAAGAGTCGCCGAGACTCCTCGGTATCTCCGTCCGGGCTGTCCAGTTAGCCAAGCCTCCTCCTATTTAAGGAGAGGCTAGTCGAGAGATGAAGGATACCGGAAAATCCCTCTCTCTGTCTCTCTGCGTTATACAACCTTCCGACCATCTCCCATTTTCTGATCGTCTTCTCCGGCAGTGACTTCCATCTTTCTCGTTCGTCGGTGCACGGTTCTACCGCCCTAGGCCTTGCATGAAGCGGTTTTATCCTGGGAGGAGATTGCCCACGTTTGCCAGTGCGGGAGGCGGGCAATACTAATTTAAGGAAAGCTCCGGCGACTCCGCTTTCCTTACCCTTCTTCCGAAAACTGTTCCGGCGACGTTCCTACCGGCGTAGCCGTTCGTCTTCCTGGTCCATCCGTTCGCGTTCCGCCTCTGAAGATTTCATTTTTCCTTTGTCTTATTTTACATTGTTAAATCCAAACGTTTTATAAGTTTGGATTAATTTCATTTTATTTTTCCCGCTGTAATATTCATCACAAAGTTATATTTTGGATTAATGATTGCTTAGGCTTTTGCAATGTTTTCGATTACTCCAGTAGATATTCAATAATGTTTTTGGATGAAATGTGTTAAATTGTTTGGAAATATTACTGTGTTTGGATACCAATGTAGTGGCAACCCAATTCGCTGACCCATTTATTCAGATTACACGAGCTGGGGTATTACACCTAAACACGAGGGTCAGACTACTTCCATGGAAATTCATGAAATGCGTGATTAGTCATAATGATAGTGAGAGACTGTTGAAATTATTAACCTTGGAGGCCAATCTATTGTGATTGTATTTAAACCTTTATTAAGAATAAATCGCCCTAAAAATTGTTTATGATTCAAGAGAATAGTATTTTAGAAAAATTTATAGAGGTATAAACATAACCCTCTAGTAACATATATGAGGACTACAATATTCTTATTATGAGACTCTTATCGTATTATAAAGGCTATGCTTAAAAGGATCCCTTCTAGTCGAATATTATGATTGTACAGATGTTATAATATATTAAGACTAGTACATATGAGACAAAAGAGTTGTCTTATAGGCTATAGGTAATAGGTATCTCAATCTAACACTCTTTGGAAAACCAAAATGGCAAGATACATTAGAAGGGGAACTAGAAGGTTGAAGATTGTCACCATTATATCTAGGAGCAAATCAAACACTACATTCGCAATAAGTTTAAGAAATGTGTTTTGAGCTAACATACTACTTTTGAGGGTTTTTACGATTGTATTTTATGTAATTCTTTATGTAGTTTATTGTGTTTTGGTGATTAAATGAGGTGCATTAACCCTAAAAGAAAGAATTTATTTAAATCTATTTCCCATTTATTCAAAAATCAGATTGAACTTGATTTAGACCGACCTGAAGCTCGTGAGTTTGGTGAGACCCGGGGTCGATTGTGGGTATCGGAATGGCCCATTATGGGTCTCAAAACAGAAGACCGGTCCGGTCCATTACCAGGAACCCATCGGGTACTAGGCGAGTTGACTTAGCTGACTTGTATAGTTGTAACCCCCCTTCGTGACTTCAGTTAGGTCATCCAAAACATATAATCAAAGAGAAATCCAATTGATTTCTTCCGTTTTCAACAGTTGTGAGAGAGCGGAATCGCAAAATGCATTCCGCCGGGTTCAGAGCCAACGCGTTGCTGACCTTCGCCATCACCATCCTGGCGTTAATGTGCGCCATCGCCTCTTTCTCCGACAATTTCAACTCTCCCTCTCCCACAGCCCAAGTCCAGGTGCTTACCGTGTGCTTGTATAGATCTGATTATGCATTGACATGTTTTTCAGTAACCCTAGATTGCTGATCTATTTATTCTATTTCTTAAAATCTAGGTATTGAATATTAATTGGTTCCAGAAAAAACATGACGGTGATGATGAGGTACTTTTTTAATGTCAACTCTTGTTCTTCTTCCTCGTTTAATTGTTCTTTATATTAAGATTCGAATAGGTATTTGGATCTAAATTAGAAGTTCAATTCTTGCAAATAATATGGCCTTTATTTGAAGGTCAAAGTTGTGACGTTTAGATTTTGTGTTCCTGGATACAAATCACATACTCCCTCCATCCTAAAAAGAATGCTACATTATGCAAAACGAAACGAAATTTTGAAATTTTTCAATTCTTTTTATTTAAATATTGGTATAGAAATAAAAAATAAAACTTACATACTTAAAAACTACATCAAAAGTTTTACAAAACAAGAGGTGACAAAAAATGTTTTATTTTATCAAATAATCAATGAAAACACACAAATAAACAAATGTGATTTTTGAATAGTGAAGTGTGACATTCTTTTTGGGACAGAGGGAATAAACGTTAAAAGCATGCTTTTGGACTCCATAATTTTGTTTGGGTGATTTGTTTGTTTGACTCTTGACCACCCTGAGCGGTTAACACGAATGGAATGCCATTATTTGGCACACATGAAGTAACCGAAGTCTACTCAATTCGTACTTTGTTATATTTAGAAAAAATGATCAGTTAAAGGTTAAAATAGCTTTACAGTAGTGCTTTAGCTGTTGAAATTTTCAGTTCAATTCCAACCATATAGTGTAAAAACAGACTTTATTCAATTTTTTAATACTCCGTATAAAATCAAGAGGCATCAGAGGGTTGTAGATCAAATAGGTCTCACCAACATTACTTTTTATGTCTTGTCTCAGAATATTTTATTCAATTTTAGTTTAGCTCATGTACATTCATATGCTATATTTGAATGATGATTTAGTATTATTAGCTTGCCTTTTAAAAAGTAGCTCACCCGTTGGAGCATAGAAAAAAATGATTAGTAACATCTATCCATCTATAATTTAGAAGATAAAAGAACGATTGGAGTTGCCCTTAGTGTTCACTGTGTCAGCAAGCAAGAATGCCAATATATATGCATATGCAATGGATATAAAATTTGTTCTGAACAACTAGTTTGAAGGTTTGGGGCTCATTTTTCTCAGGTGTTAGAAAATATGAAATAAACTCAATGTTAAACTGATATACTCCGTTCAATTTACAGACTGATTTTCTTCAAACCACTTTTCTTTTTGTATTGCGTCTTCTTCAAACTGCTGAACTGTATTAGTGTATTTAGAAGAATTTCAGACTGTTTCAGCTTATTACCTGCGCCACACAATTATTCCTTTTAATATTGTTTGAATTTTAGTAATCGTGATCTGGTTCAGAGGTTCATCTGAAAAGATTAGCTTTAGGATCCATTTGGGAGGAGTGCCAATAATTTCCGAAAGTCATTTTCCATTTTCCGATGTTTGGCTCTCGAGAATTAGACTCAACAGAAAATGATTTCCACAGACAACTAAAAATGAACCTTATTTGGAGGATATTGTCTTCCCTTTTTTTTGGCAAAAGACATTTCCCACTCTTCTTCTACTTATCAGATCAGAACTCACCATGTTTTATTACGTTATAACAACAAAAACTAGTTTTTTTCATTTTCTAAACTTTCTGAAAACCATATAAAATGATAGAATTTTTTTCCAAAAGTCATTTTCAAGAAATCATTTTACAGAAGTCATTTTCCATCTTTCCAAACAGACCCTTGGTGGAAAATCACATTCGAGAAGTCATTTTCTATCTCTCTTTGAACTTGATGCAGAGTGGAATAAAATATTTTTGAACTTGATGCAGAGAAATATACTGAACTGATATCTTTGTCAGAATTATTTTTGTTCTGTAATCCGTTAGTGCTTGTTTATGCAAAAATCAAATAAATATTATTTGCTATTCTTAGTGTGTGTTGACCAACTTTCTATCATGTGTTTGTTCAATGCAGGTGAGTTTGACATTGAATGTGTCCGCAGACTTACAGTCACTATTTACATGGAATACCAAACAGGTCTGTTACAATTATACACCATTTTATTCTAGTTTTACTGGTTCTCTTGTACTTCATATTCCTTTATTGTTCTATGGTATGCTTTTATGCCTTTCAGGGGGATTTCTGCTTTCAGTATGGCTTTTAATTGCCTTTATTTTTATCAGATCTCCAATAGTGCACGCTTATGCGTGTTTATTGTGCCTTTATTTTTAAAAATGGCAGTCTGCTTGAATATTTGTAGGCATTTACTAGAATGTATTATTGTTGTTCATGTGTACCTAAGATATTCTGAAAAATCACTATCTATTTAATTCTTAACTGGACTAGGGTCACTAAATGCTTCTAGCTGTCTGTCTATATGCATTGAATCATTTACTCCCTTCATCCCGCAATGCATTTCTCGCTTTAACATCGTGAAGTTTAAGAAAATTGTTGAAAAGTGAAAAGTGTGTGGTTGGAATTTGTTTAGAAGGGAGGGAAATGTTATGAGTCACTTACTCCTTACTTAAACTGAGAATAGGTAAGTATAAACTTCATGGTGTGTCGGAGGGAGTATTTTTTTTAGTAACACAATTTTTTTAACGTACTCTTTTCATGACTTTGTCTTGATAGAAAGTGTACTTAAAATATTATTTCAGTCAACTTGGCAAGTAATATAACCACACAATAATAATGAATGATGTATGTTTAGTTATTAACCCATCATGATTAATAGAATTGTTATCTGTTTTGCATTGCATATTTCTGGTGATTTTGTAACTCGTAAGTTTTGATTACACTGCAAATGCATATTTATTTGTGTGTCATAATCATTGAGGAACTCAAACCACTTAGTACTTGCTCAAGAATTTTCTTGTCAATATATTTGTGTGGATGCCTATATGGAATATGAGTTGTGTAGCCTCTTTGAATATATTTGCAGGTTTTTGTGTTTTTGGCAGCTGAGTACGAAACCCCAAAGAATGCCCTGAATCAGGTATTTTCTTCTTGTTTCTTTACCAACATTGATTCAGGTACTTTCCATCTTGATTATTATAGGAGATTGGACTGTTCCCCATCACTTATCAATAATGCCTTTTAGGACTAGTTATACCACCCTTGACGATCATATTGTCCAAATTACTCTATTTTTTGACTTTTTCACCTCTAGGAATGTGATATTTGCAATGCTCTTCTAAGTGGATTCTTGTAGTAATTAATAATCATTGTGCCGATTATGTTTGTTTTTGAGCTAGCTGACTTTAAATTTGCAATGTTTAAATAATATATACCCACACTAATTACAAATTACTTATATTTCGTTAAGTAGTGTGTCAAGGGGAGCATATTTTTAGTCCTCCCTTCAAGAACAAAGGTTTGGTCCTTCATTAATTGAAAGGTCCTAGACTTAAATTTTTAGTTATGTATTTTCCAGTTTGTAAATCCATGTGGCAAAATGGAATCTAAGGTGATCATATCTACTCCATTTTAAATCCGTGGAAAGATTTAGAGGCAAGAGCTCAAGTCTCCAAATTTTCAAATTAGAAATTTAGTAACAGCTATAATCAGTTGTTTCTAAGTTGTGATTTTATTTATTTCTAGAGTTTTAGATTGCAAATTTTACTGGTTTGGACTTAAATCTTGCCATGTAGATTTGAAATGGTTTTAAAATGGCTAGCTCAGCTTTCCATTTTGCCAAATGGATTTTAAAGTGACAGATGGAGTGCTCAAAATTGTTATTTTAAATATGGGACTAAAGTTTTGTTCAAAATCAATATTTTCTTTTTAGAATTGATGTATGAGTTAGCACATTTTCTTTGACATAAGTGTGTTCCTAATATTTGGAAAATGACGTTTCAACATGTCTTGTGTGTGCTCTTACTGCTCTACCGTCTTTTTGAAAACTTCAGTGTTGTGCCATGGTTGAACACAAACATTGTTTCCTCCATTTGGTCTGAAATCTGAATGCTCTTGTAACAGGTTTCCTTGTGGGACGCTATAATACCTTCTAAAGAGCATGCAAAATTTTGGATGCACACAAAAAACAAGTACCGATTCATTGATCAGGTTAGGCACCAATTCTGTTGAATCACATTTCATTTGCCTTATGCCTCCACGGATTCTCATGACAAAGTTCTTCTTATTCATGTATAGGGAAGCAATCTCCGCGGTAAAGAATTCAACCTTACATTGCATTGGCATGTTATGCCAAAGACGGGCAAAATGCTTGCCGACAAACTTGTTATGCCTGGCTTCTTCTTGCCCGAGACATACAGATGAGGCTAGTATTTTTTTTCTTGTTCTGTGATCTCTAATTTACTGTAATATTTAGCCTATCTGTAGCTGGAATGAGAGCAAATTCCTAGACAGCAGATTGGAAAAAGGTTAAAATATGAACTGAGTGTAACAGACCTTCATTGGCTATCAAGTTACCAAAATTTAAATATTGAATTTTGACCCTTTTTTATGTACGGGGATTTCTGAGGAAATGGTGAATTCAAGACATGAAGCATTTACATTTAACTTGCACGAAGGTTAACACGATGTTTGGTTCAAGAAATTTAAAAGAAAAAAGAAAAGAAAATGAGATAGAAAAAAATGAGATGGAAAATATTTTTTCATGTTTCGTTAGAAGAAAAGGAAAAGGAACTGGAGAAGGCCGTTAGATGAATGTATTTTTGTGGTTGTAGCATTACTCGTTATATAATTACCTAAGATAATTTTCTACACGTAAAAGTATATTTATTATTCTTAAGCTTTCATTGCATTATTCATTCTATTAAGCTAGTAAAATATTCATCCTGTCCTGTTTTAAATTGTCTGTTTTGACTTTTGAGCATATTTAAGAAAAAGAAAAAGAAATATGTGCACTAAATAACATTAATGCTTAAGTCATTTTCCTAAATAACACTTAAATTGTTTTATTCCTTAAATAGCACTTAATAATGTTTAGTGATGACGAATATTTGCTTAAATAATGATTAATGCATAATAATTAAAAGTGCCACATTGAGAAGAATAAACTCATGTGGTGCTATTTAGGAAAAGTCATTATGTTTTAGTGCTATTTAAGTAAATTCCTCAAAGAATAAAAAGAGATAATTTTTCGAAATTGTCATTACGTTTTAGGAGGGGTGACGATGAATGAGAAGATAAGGTGGAGAAGAGTGACTAATTTTAGGGATAGTTTAGGTATTTTACTCTTAAAAGTTTACGATTACAAGTAACAGATATTTTATTTTGGGATGGAGAAAAAAAAATAAATAGACAATTTAAAATAGGACAGAGGAGTAAGCAATTATCAATTAATATCCAGCTGGTATTTTATATTCAGAAAGACATGTTTGCCACCTAACTTCAGTTCACTTTTTCACCATGTAAAAGTAAAACTCAAAATTCAACCTAATTTCTTGTCTAAAGTTGTAGTCTTATACGTTTTCTTTCCAACACCATCTTATTCATACTCAGTTCAATTTTGGCATCTTCGGTATTGTGTTCGTAAAATTCTTATTGCCCTAACCATGGTTGCTGCACTTCTATATATGGTGAGGGCATGTTAGGAAACAACTTTAATAATCTCTCCATCCTGAAATATTCTTCACATGTTGACTTGACACGTTTATTAAGTAGTAAAAAAAGTGACAAATTTCCAAGAATGCACGTAGTATAAGCTTTTAGAGCTCTTTTCTTGGAGTATTAAAAAAGGAATAAAAAAATAGATTTGTGGTAAAATAGAAGGATATTACTGATATTTATCCTTAAAAAGTAGACTTAAAAAAGAAATTGAAAGAATATTTCTGGTAGATTAAAATATGATAGGTAGATTATATAATGTAAGAGGTATGGTAGGAATTAGTAGGAATAAAAGTGATTTTTAATAGAAAGTGAAAGTTTATGGTGAAAGGAAAAAAAAATAAAAGAAAGAGTATTTTAGTCAAGGGAGGGAGTTCTTTGTACTAAAAGTGACATGTCCAAAATAACAACTGCCATAGTTAAATAGATCCCACGAGAGTTCCTTCAAAAAAAAAAAAAAAAGATCCCACGAGAGTAGACTTTGGAGAGGATGTACGTACATGCAAAGCTTGCCTAGTATATTTTGTTCTATATTTATCATGGAGTACTTTGTATATTATGCTTTGTATTTATTATGAAGCACGTATTTTGGGTAAAATTTTTATGGGGTATTTAAATTTGAATATATTCTTTAGCATATCGAATAGAATACATAAACATTCGTATTCGTATTCATTTTCTTTCGAATTCCAATAAATATTTATATTCTTATTCATATTCATTTTTCGAATACGAATCATTGATTTCGAATACGAATAACGAATCAAATCAAAATTATTCATTCATTTTACAACCCTAGTCTTATGTTTCAGTTTGTTAGAAAATTGAAAAGTCCTCATAGGCCCACAATCACGACCTTGAACTTTTTGTTCGATTTTTATTTTTTAAAATGATATCAAAGTCATGATGACCGAGGAATCACAAATTTGAATATTGTCACCCATTTTTTTAAAACTTAAGATTTCACGTGCAAAACTCAAAGCAAAAAAAAGATCTCGCATTCTCACTAGCACGTGAAGAGGTTTGTAAGAATACAAAACCTTTCCGGACGTAAAATAACAAATAAGCGTGAACTTTTGGTTGAATTAATTGTTTGAAATATTATCCCTAACACAGTGATGATCACAAATATTATTCTTAACAATTGTTCTGATGATCTTAATCTAGTTTGTAAAATTGGTAAAAGAGAGTGAGTAGCATTTCAGAGTCTAGTGAGCATTTAAAAAGGTCTGCAAGTTTACAAATTAACTGTCACAAATCTCAAACAAAGATTGGATGATAAGTTGAGCCTAAGCAAGATGAGATGATACAGAAGGTAAATATGGTTGAATTTTAGCTGTAACAAAAATTATTAACACGAAAAGTAGGAGTACAATGTATGAGACTATGGAAAAGCCAACAAAAAATTACTAAGAGGTGACATCAGTTTATTCGTAAAGACTTGCAGGTCCTTCAATTTTTGAAAAGTCACCATGGGGCCTTACATTTATTTGTAAAGACTTGGAAGACACTTTCCGGTACCTATATCAAACTGCCCGAAATGCCATGGTTAAATTTTGTGAAATCGTGATTCGTCACCATAATACTAAAGAAGAACCTCAAAAGAGATTGAACAATTTCAGATCCGAGCATGAATCTATTTTTCTTTGCTTTCTAATTTATCTTTTTTCAAAAGAGGTGTAATTAAACTAGCTAAGCTAAAAGTTGATTAACAAATCAAATAGCCCACATGTTAACAAAACAAATTGAGCCTTCTACTCCCTATGAACATGACCAATACCAAACCCTAGTGCAGTTACTTGCATTTGCTTCTTTTGATCCGTGCTGGAAAATGGAGACTGCAAGTACTATTGTTTGTTAAGGGCATAAGGGAGAATATATTTTATTTAAGAAAATTGGATCTAAGTGCTTGCCGGAACATAGAAGCCGGCATGAGAAAGTGCCTTCCAGGCCTTTACAATTAAATTTAGGGACCTGCTATGAGTTATTAAAAAATAGGAGGACCTACGAGTCTTTACGAGAAAATTGGCGTCACCTCATAGTAATTTTTTGAAAAGCCAACACCCTAAAATATTGAGAGGCTTCCATATATACACAAAAGAAATGCAGTAAAAGAATGTGATATCTCGTTCCCATCTGGCTAAGATTACGCAGGAAACTTTGCAATGACCAAACTTACTAGCACGAATAGTGTGTAAAGTCCGACGAGACAGAAACCCCAGAATCTGGGCACTTGAAACCTGTTCCAAGTTACTACAAGCAATGATCCCATCAAGCTTAAGAGCAAGAAAACAAAGGCCACAACGATACTCACATGGAAACGCAGCTCGTATGCATCTGGATAAACTTTCCCTGTCTGTATAACAAGAGCGGTTCCAAGCCCAAAAAGCATGTTGAACATGGGGCCCGCGAAGCATCCCGCCATGGCCATTGCAGGCTGACCTGCCTTTGCAACGGCAACGTCTGCAACAAGATCACCCACTGAATTCCCCCATGCAAGCACTGTTAAACCAAGAAGAGCAGGTGGCAGTTTCAGAAGCGCTCCGAGAGCTGCAAGGCAGTTGAGGAGCTCTCCTGCTGCTGTTGATATCCAGAATACACTCATTACGAATGCAACAAGCACAGTGGGCAGTTGCTCAGAGTTTGGAGGCTCCTTTTCAACAACGTAGTGAAGAAGCCCTAGAGATGAGCTCCCACAGAGTACTATATACCAAAGAGGAAAGTGGGTGTTTGGAAGAAGAAATACAACTGGGTGATTTAAGGGCATAAATGATCTGCATGAGAACAAAAGGGCCAAGGGACAAAAAACTATGTTGGCAGACTGATAAAATCTGCTCCACTCTGTAGGTGATGTCTGAGGGATTGTAAGTTTCAGGAGAACGGAGACTGGAAGTTCCCATACCTGCAATACCTGTAAAGAATAGGGGAAAAGAGGTTTAAAAAATGCATAATGGTAACCACAGGTAATAGAAAGCTGGCACATATTAATAAGATTTACAAGATGTTGCATCAGCCAATTTATGGTGTTTCTATATCCAATACTCCCGTTTTGTGTTTCTCGACAACTGTTGCTTTGATTTAACATGTTTTTTTGATCTATGGTTTTTTTATAAAATCAAAAGAGTAGTTAATGATAATTTTGACATTTGCCTCTCTCTTCATCTCAATTTAAAAAAAGGACAGTAATCAAGAAGAGGCAATAATAAAGGATATATGAGTACCGTATTTTATTTTATGAGTTTTTTAATCAGTGTTTTTATCCTTAAACCACCTGCAGCTGCAGGTGCTTGACACGTACAATATATGATTCTGAATCACAGGATAAACTCTTGTATTAGTAGTATATATGGAAGATGCGGTACACATAAAATCAAATATTGATCTGAAAAAATCAAACTGCTTCAACATACAGGCAGAGAAAGAGAACTCTGCAGCTATTTTGCAAGAAGATGGCAGTGGTGTCAGAAGTGGCAGTGGAACTTGAAGAAAAGGTTGTTGGCTCCCAAGAGGGGAGGAGGCACAATCTCTCATTCGTGTTTTAGATTTTTAGGTCAGGGTTGGAAAGAAACTAATTTGCTGAAACAAATATAGGACTCATTCTTGCGATCACAGTTTGTACTTCTATGACCTGTGATTCTGAGTGTATCTAACCTTCATTGCAAGATCAAACTTTTTTATGTTCCTATAATCATACAGTTCTAGAAGTTGTTGACACCTCCTATCCTAATTCATGCATAATTGCACACATGCTCCCTTCATTAGTGTTAAATTAGTTATGATGCGTCTTGATGAATGTAAAGGAGAGAGTATTATCTAAATTAGATTAGACTCATTAAACTTAAAGCTAGGGCTATCTAAGGAAATGATACATATTGTTAGTCTCATCTAGATAACCACTAAAGAACTGAATTGAACAAACACTTGATACGCGTAATACATACCTTGTCATAGGCAAGCCTTAACTTGGAGCTGGGATTCTTTATATCTACAGAGGTGCTTAAAAGCTTTCCATTTTCACAGTCCATCTCAGAGGTCCCCTTGCGAGTCTTACCATTTCCAAGCAAACCCATCTCAGTTCCATCGCTAACTCGCTTCACTCTCCTATTTCCATCTGCCAAATCCATCCAAAACACCATCACCACAAAGAAGAGATAAAACCCCACAAATCCGACGGCCTGCCAGAGGAAAATCTCAGCACTCAAGTACACGTAGAACAGGAAGGTTGCAGCTGTCAAATAAAACATCACATCCCTCACAAACGGAGCTGGATCTACTGAAAATGGCGCCGCATAGATCGATACGAACCCCACCACAAAAGCGGACACGAAGGTCCCTGCAGATAGGATCGCCCCAAATCCAGTTTTCGGATGGCCTCCCCTGACGGCAGCAACGGAAGCGAACACGTCCGGGGCCCCATTACCGAGCGCCAATAGCGTCACCGCACCCATGGACGGAGACAATCGGAGATGAGCGACGAGCTTGGTGACGACGACGGAGAAGTGGACCTGCGCCGTAGCGATGAGGATGTAGAAGTAAAGGAACACGAAGAGCCCGAGAAATGGGACGGAGAAGAATGGATTTTGGCGGAAGAGGCAGGAATGGAAGGAGGAGTAGTGAAGCAGTCCATCGGATCCGTCACTGAAGAATCTGCAGGCGGGTAGGGAGGAGTCGAGGAGTGACCTGTGAGCAGCGAGCAAAAGGCGGTTCGAGGAAGAGGCGGGCTGGCGGAGGAGGAGGAAAACGACGGCGGCGAGTAGGAACAGTGAGATTCCGGTGGTTCTGGAAGCGATGAAGTTGAAGGCCATGCCAATGCCATGCCAACAAAAGCTCTAACAATTAATTCATCAAAGTGGCACTTCTCCCTTGCGCGGCTCTCAGGAGTCAGGACTTCAATAATTAGGAATCAGATGATAGGAACAATTTGGACTCAACTTAATCCCATCTCATAATAATGTTCTAATTTACTCTTCAAATCATTAAAGCAAAAAATTTGCAACAAATGTTACAATACTCGGTTTGGAGAATCTACACACTACAATGCTTTTTTTTTCAAAAATGATTGTTCCTCTTACCCTTCCAGTAAACTTCTAAAGTCCGACCCGTCCCTAATGCATCATGACACCTCCAGCTGCACCACTTTTCATTTTGGTCAAATATTTGACCACAAAGTCAACAAAATGAAAATAGTACAATTGGTGGGGGTGCAGGAATTCTGGGGGTTTGGGGAATTCTTTTGAGGGTGTTGAGCGGGATATGAACAATTAATTGAACGGCGCGCCGTAGGTACTCCGAACGGAGTGTTGTAACAATTGTTGTAAATTTTTTTATTGTAAGATTAAGCCCTCTCATGGTAAATTATAGTCACAGTACAATCTTTATTTATTTTCATTGGTCATTTGATAAAAATAATCTTGTCATCACTAGATTTTTTATAATTTTTAAGTAATTTTTAAATATATAATTTTTTTTGAGACTATAGAAGTTTTATTTATTAATTATACACCAATCTTTAAATAAAAAAATTTAAAGCAATTTTTTTCAAACACTGCAATCCGAAGCTGGAACATTATTATGAGGCGGAAAGAGTTTTTTTAGAATTATGCTAGAAACACACCAAATTATATTTTAGAGTCATGCTAGGAACACACTAAATTGTCTTTGACACACTGACAATCATTAACTTGTTTAATTTTTTATTTTTTATTATACTTATTTTATCTTATATTTTATTCTCATGGTTATCAATATTTTATTTTATTTGTAATAACAAGAGAAAGAGAAAGTTCGCGGAAGAAAGGCGAAAAGAGAGAAGAGGAGAAGCCCCCCTCTGATCTCAAGAGGGTCTACAAACTTACTGATTCTCTTTTTAACTTGCAGCATTTCCCTCATAAATTTTTTCTTTTTTATTATATCCATTTTATCTTATTTTTTATTTTTATACCGGAGTTATTATTATTATTTAATTTTTTAATAAAAAGAGGAAGAGAAAATTGTAGGAAGAAAATTGAAGTTAATATTTTGAATCGTAATTTCATTTTTTTAAAATCAAACAAGGAGAGGGATTTAGTTTCCTTCTCATATTATGACATTGGAGTTTAATGTCACTTGAGCCTCTCCCAAAACTATAGCTAATATTAAAAACAAAATCTTATTTTGTGTTGTTTGCAAACTAGCCACCCACACCGGAAGAACAATAGAAGGGAAACCAATATTTATATGGGTACCCATCTTCATTAATATGAGGCCTTTTGGGAGATGCCCAAAAATAAAGTTGTGAGGGCTTGACCCATAGTGTACAATATCATACTAATGAAGGGTTGGGGTGAGGGTACGCGCAGTCCCAACATGTGGTATCGGAGCCCAAGTTCATGCGGACAAGAGTGGCAGACTGCGTTGTGCGGAGTTCTCGGTGTGCCCTGTGTGACAGTATGACGCGCAGTCCCAACATGTGGTATCGGAGCCCAAGTTCATGCGGACAAGAGTGGCAGACTGCGTTGTGCGGAGTTCTCGGTGTGCCCAGTATGACCAAAGTGTGAGGCCTTTTGGGAGATGCCCAAAAATAAAGTTGTGAGGGCTTGACCCATAGTGTACAATATCATACTAATGAAGGGTTGGGGTGGGGGTACGCGCAGTCCCAACATGTGGTATCGGACCCATAGTGTACAATATCATACTAATGAAGAGTTCGTCGTCTTGTTCCCGCACCCGTGGTATTATCTCGTAATTCTTAAACGTCGTAATCGAGATAAATATGTGGACATCTAACGTATGATTATAGTCATAGGTTTGAATCTTACGTTCGTAGAATCGTTAGGATTAAATTATGTGAACTCTACGTGAATTATGTTTTCTTTACATGATTTATGATTTGGAAGGCACAAATGGGACTAGATATGTTTATGAGCATTTTAGATAACGTTTGAGTATGGACTTAGAACCTATTGGTGCCTGTTGTTTTGAGTTTGATGTAGAAAAATGGAGCTGGTGCAGAGTCAGACTTCGCCGTGACAGACGGTAGGCCGGTACCGTGGGTACCGAGCTACCGCCACCCTCCCTGTTTTTCCTTCGCTCTTCTGGTGCTTGTCACCAAACGGTACCTATGTACTGGGTGGACGGTAGGCCCTATCACCGGGTCGGTAGAGGCTACTGTGACATGCCTACTAGATGGGAGTTGTAGCTGCTACGGACGATACCCACGTACAGTGTGACGGTACGCTGGTAGCGTGAGGTCGGTACCCCCTACCGTTAAGGGTACCGTGAGGTACCTGAACCGGTCAGAATTCTATGTTTCTGTCAAGGATTGATCCCAAGACTTTAAATGTTTCATGACGGTAAACTTGGTTGTCAACACCCAGTGTTAGGCCGCTGTTTGGGTATATTGAATATGTTGTTGATGCTCGATTGATGTATGAACATTGTATCATGAATTGTTAATGGGTAATGAACGAATCACCTAGAAGAACTCTAGGGGCAGACCTGAATGGATTAGTGGCTAGGTATGCCATAAGCTAGTAGGTTAGAGTCATATGGTACCTGCTGGGTCCAATGGCTGTTCGGGTAAAAACCTGCGCACGAGGATCTATGAACTGTCTTTCCGAAGGAGATAAGGATCTCACCCACCAAACGAGGAAATCCCGAGTTGGTTTGAGCTTGACCTTCGTTTCGAAGGGATAGGTCATGACTCCCATAGGCAAGTCGACTTCAGTTAAGCTTTTACCAAGCATAGGTTAAGAGCCAAATACAATAAAGAAAGTAAAGTAAATTAAAAGGGAAAGTACTTAATACTTGTATCATCGTTGTTTGTATCTTATGAACTATTATGATGTTGATTATGCATGTTTTATCTTGTATACTGTATGATTGTTGCTAAGTATGTTGCGTGCATGACATCGTATGATGATATGGGCTAGTGGGATCATCTGTGGGTATAGCTCACTTAGCTTCAATGCTGAGCGTGTAGCGTTTGTTCTTTTGCTACACGTAGGTAATCCAGGTAAGGACCGGCCCGGGACCGGACCGAATAAATGTAATTTTTTATTTTTTTTAAAATTTGGTTTTATTTATTTAATTTAAAGTTTTGAATTGTAAAAAAATATTACTACAATTAATTTTTCATGTGTAACATACATTAAACATTTTCAAGCATTTATGTTTTTATTTTTTTTAAACTTCAAATAAAATATATATCCTTCATCCATATTACATAAAATTTGTTTGTAATTTTTATTTTACATATAGAATATTCTTCTTCTTACTGTGTTTTTACTTTTTTGTAATATTTTTTTGTGTTTTGGTTTGTTTTGATAGAAGGATACATTTTTTTACTGTTTTTGTTCATAAGATTGTTTACAATATTTTTTTGTTTATTGGTGTTTTATTACTGATAAAGTACAAAGTTAAGTTATAGTATTGATACATCAATTTGAAATGCATTATATCGCTTATGTAAAGATAATGTTTACTTTTTCACACTTTTCATGTTAATAATATTTAAATATCATTAGAATTAGTATCTTATTTTGAATTGGAATATATTAAAAAAATTATATTAAATAATAAAATCAGAATATTTTAAAAACTTTTAGTATTAAAGTTAAATAATTTTAAGTATAAGAAGAAAACTTTAAAACTATATTAGAAAACTATATAAAAAAACAAATATTTTTAAAAAAATAAAATGTAATCGGTCCACTGATCCGGACCGAAACCCGGTGGACCGGACCGGACCGGTCCGGTCCGGTTTTGGCCAGGTTTTGGGTCGGTCCGGGTTCGGATAGAATAATGCACACCCCTAGAGTAGACCTTTAATTGATGAGGTGAAAATTACTCCGTCTGATAAAAATTTACGCTCTTCACTCTTCAATAATCACAGAAATTTTTATTTGTTGGTTTTGGTTGAGTATTTGATGAAATGAAATATTGTTGTCACCATAATTATCAGGGCGTCGCCTATGCATCTAAGCACCCTTCTGATCTTGCCTTGATGATTCGACTCGCCAAATTTTCAATTCCTAGCCTAGGCATCGATTTTCTAACGACTTTTCGTCCAGGCGCAACACCTTGGTCGACTAACATCGTGAACATGGTAATCAAACTCGCAATCTGGATTGTCCGATTTTACGATACAGTAGATCGACCAGGAGTTTGCAATCTGAATCACAAAGAAGATCAGGAATCTCGACGACTCGCATGATTGACGAGTAAGATCGTAAGATTATGAGATCTTCCTAGATCGCGAATAGACAAAAATGAAATTCAGATGCGAGAGACAGCCGGACTATACAAGCGGTAGTCTACCCGATAACTCGACCCGTTAATTGTGACTGAACTCCAGCTACTCAGCACTCTTCTCATATGACTTGTATAGTTGTGATGGGCCGATATCCAGAGGACGGCCCAAATGAACCATTTAAACAGCTTCGGGTCAAGCACCTGTGAAATACTCAAGCTGGGCCGGCCCAAGGAGCTGGGCCTAGTTAACCTCAGGCCAAGCGCAGCTGGCAGAGTCAGTCTGGAGAAGGAGACGGCGCTGATTGGCCGTTACGGAGCCGGGAAAAGGGGATCGCGCCCTTGGCGGGCTAGACTCCATCGGTTATGCTTCACCTTAATTGTTGAGAGCTCGTGTATAAATAGAAGGGACCCGAAAGGGGAGAACTCAAGCTAAATCAAGCTAGTAATGCACATCCAATTCTCGAATTCTTGTTCTTAATTTTGTTCTTGCGATCCGCTCTGTAAATCGGATCATTTGGTGGATTTATTGTCCATCAAATTGGTGCTCTCGTTGAGAGTTCGAGAATCATACTCGGAAGAAATCCTCCACAACGACGATGGTGCAAACACGTAGCAATGCCAACGTAGGTACCGGAGTTCCCCAACAGGGGGAGAATAGCGCCACCGGAGGTCGGCACCCCCCCATCACCACCGGGG